GGGGGCCACTTCTTGGCCAATGAGGGGCCAGGATCAAGTTTTGGCTGAGCTGGGAGGTGTAGTCATTCATCTTGGAGTTTCCATCAGACGTTGTATGACAGGAAGGAGCATGGGTGCTTCTAGACTAGGGCCAGATCCCAACACCACACACACACATACACACACACACACACACCCCATACACACACACACACACACACATACATACACACACACACACGCACACACAGACACACACACACACACATACACACACACACACACACACCACACACACACACACACACCACACACACACACACACACACACACACACACGCACACACAGTATATAAAGTCATTAAAATGAGCTCCACCTTTAAGGTGATGAACACACACATTATAATAAAATAACATAATATATATTATTCTGAGTACTTTCACTTTTGGTACTTGAAGTATATTTTGATGCTAATAATTAAAGTAAAATGTTTGCAGTATTTGTACTCTGTAGTATTAGTACTTCTAATAGAAATACTTCTACCACTGAAGTCAGGAGTGATCTTTCTGTCGTATTCCTTGAATGTCATTAATGATATTTCACATTAGCTCAATTCAATTATTACCACAAATATATTTATTAGTCAAAGTTACAACATTTGTATTTATTTATTGAGGTTTAAATGTTTTGTTTTGATTGAATATAAAAACACCAGTTGCCGTTCGTCATACAATAAATACTAAAATATGTCTGCTGATCGTCTGTTACATCCTGAATCGGTCGATTGTGTGTTTCCTGCTCAGCTCGGCTTCTTCAACAGACGGAGGAGACGGGAAGAGGGGCAGCCGGCAGCCAATGGGAAGGCAGCAGAGGAGCTGTGATGTGGGAGGCGACGGTGATGCGTTCAGTCGGTCCTCAACGACGTGTAAAGTCCTGAAGATTCATAATAAGAATTATAATAATAAGAGCTCTAACAGAAATATGAGGAGCAACGTGGATCACATGACACACAGAGAGAAGTGATCTGACGTTTAACTTCCAACTTTATGAGTTGATGAGGAGCACCTGAACGCATCACGAGCCTCCACCTGTCACTCAGGGAACCTGATGCCCCAAACAGCCAATCAGACGATCAAACAACCGATCAGTCGATCAGTCGATCAGTAGCCACTCAGCTGAGGAACGAGCCACTGATTGAATGAAGCAGCTGGAACGTCGGCGCTCAGTCTGAACTGTTTTTATATTGTTTAGGTTTCAAGTCCCCGCTTTAAAATAATGACTTTTAATAAAAGACGCCACAGCTTCAGTTCATAATTATAATAAAATAACATAATATATATATAATATATATTATTCATGAGTGAGTTCTTTCATATTTCAAACACTCTCCAAAAACAAACTTTTACATTTTTTTAACTCTTAGAGGCAGTTTGAACCGGCAGCGTAGCAACAAGTGACCAACAACAAGCTACAGACGTCGTGTTCGTCCTCTGAAGGGACCGTAGCTACGAGTTAGCTTCACGCTAACTCTTCAAGCTAACTCCTTATTCTGCTCTGATGAATGAAGATGAAGCCAACGTGTCTCTAGTGATCACGAGCGTGACTGAGACAAGTGGAGCAAAGACAGGAAGACATTTACAGTTTGGAACCGGAGGAACCCGTGTGACCGCACGGGTCACATGACGCCTCACGTTGATGTCATGAACTTATGCTCTGAGCTCAAACGTCAACGAACGAAGCTGAAGATTTAAACTGAAGATATGAAACAATAAAACAGAACAGAGTCAACCAGCAGCTTATTACATATGATTTAATACTGATCAAAAGAAGACAATGCAGGACGAGCTAGGACGGCTGATTCTATTGTGCTCTTTATACTAATGGGAATGTAAACGCATCTTATGAACACATATTGTATTATTTCAGAATTTATATCTGATGCACTTTTGTTGTATAAAGTCAAACTTGAACTTTTATTTTTGTAAATATGAAAGAGTTAATGAGGATCGTGGCATTATTGATATGAAGCAGTAGTCTGTACTGATGTGTGTCTGTTAACACGGAATAAAGACGAGAGACGTTCACCGTGTCGTGCTTCAGCAACATCACTTCTACTCAGGAAGTCTAAAACATCTTTAGTCAACTTGACTTCCATCAGGCGGTTTATTTGCTGACTGACTTTGTAACTTTCAGTTGTGAGAAAAGTATTATTATTCATATTTATTCCTCTGAGAGATTCGATGTGATGTAAAGATGCTGTTGAGCTGAAGGTGGAGATATTTACATAAATCTATTTATAATAAACATTTAACAACACAAAGAGCTGCTAAACTTATTAGAACTTAAACATCAAGTCTTTGCATGTCCTGCCTGTCTTTTTCCACTCAGAGACAAACCCAGTGGACACACACAGCTGTGTCCATGTGGCTGATTGGACGTCTTCTCAGGTGGAAGTGTGCAGTCTGTTTGTCTATTCAACCCTTTTACTTAAAAAGTGTTGATGTTCACAGATGTGTTCGTCTCACCCTGTTTAAAGAATCAGCCTTTAATATCTCAGAGGACAAGACCTCAGTGTCTTCATCCAATCACAGACTCAGGACAGCTGTGGGAACATTGATATCAGCTAAGCTAGCTAGCTAGCCAAGCTAACGGCCATGTTGCTGTTGAGAGATGAGACGTAGTTTTCACAAAACTAAATAATACGACAAACTGAGACTTTAACTTACAGAATTATCTTTTAAATGATCAAACATTTGTAATTCATGGAACAATTCAAACAGATCCAGAGAATATGTCTCTCGCTGTTGACTCTCGTCCATATTGTCTCTGAAATAAGGTCCCATGGGGGACACCAGAAGGGGCGGGACTTAGCCACTCTACTGACGCCATAGTTGTAGTTTTCTGTGTGTTAGGATGAGCTGCTCTAAACGAAGCCTCTGTTGCTGAGTTGCTCAACTTTTGGTGAACAGAGAATGTTTTTGAGGCTTTGTCTTCAGCTCCTTTACCTTCTGGTTCATAGTTAAAGTCTCTTTAGACTTTAAAGACATCTTTTACTGACTGACGTAGTACTATTTGTATATTATATAATATATATTCCTCTACCTGTTATTGACCTATTGGTCTAGTCCGTGTGTCTACTAGTCTGCTCACATATCTTAATAGAGTTCTGCATGGACGATGAACAGGAAGTCATCATCAATGGTTCCCTCCACAAACAGCCAATCAGATCCTTCTTAGATTCGGGGCTGTGACCTCGCTGACAGAGAGTAAACTCTGGTGGTGAAGCCTCAGTGGAGAGAGAATGAAGGACGCCAGTGAACGCAAACAGAAGACTTTTAATTTGACAGCATTCATTCTGCAGGAAGTGACATCACACCTGACATCCTCTGAAGTTTGAATCAACACACGAGAATCTTTGGCTTCTTTTCAGCCACAGAAAAAAATAAAACATGTTTCCAGCTCCACCAGGACAGAAGTCACGACTCCTGCAGCGTTAGACACACAGAAATATAAAATGAGCATCTGAATGGCACATCATCGTCACCTCAACCCCTTACAGCCCTCTGACCTCATGCTGGATCAACACACTGAGCTCAGACTCCTCACACGCTGCGTTTACATGTTCACGGAAAAAGTCAGACAAGTCAAAATGACTGTGTTGCATTTATGCTGCGTTTGTTCAGGAAGAAACAAACCTGTTAAATAAGCGTTGGTGGTCATGCTGAGACGTCCTGATGTTCTCTGTGTACGCTTCACCAGAACGTCTGCAGGCTGATGGAATAGAAGGAAGAACCAACGAGAACAAACCGCCCCCGAAGTGAAGAAGCTCCTTTCATCAGCGACGGAGGAGAAGATGAAGACGTTTCCTGTTTCATGTAAAGATGAACGAGCTTCTGACCCTGAACCCTGGCGAGTAAGAGGACGTTTCTCTCAGAGCAGTGAAGAGACTCAGCATTCAACCCGTCACATTAATCCTCAACACGTCTGGAAGCTTCTCACACGCTGTACATCTTCAGCACCGATGAGACGGGAAGTCAAAGTTCTTCTTTTAACCGTCGACTTTCATCAAAAGCATCACGTTAAAAGAAACGGACTCTTCCAGAAGGTTTCCTGTGCATCACTTCTTCTGGTTTCTCATCATTTAAATCATCTCATCTTCAGCTGCGTCCGTCTCTAAAACCTCTCTATGTGCGTTAAAGATCTCTTCTAGTCAGATGGTTAAATCTGGAAATCCACGAGGCACAAACAGCAGAAGTCTTCCCAGGTCCAACATGTCCAGACCAGCAGAACCACAACTACTCCTTCACAATAAAACAGCAGAACTCATCATCAGGGACGTGAGGTCACTCGCAGCCAATAAATAAGAGTTAAGTAGAATAATGTGAAGTCACAGAAGCCCAATCATTTAAAATAACTCGTTCTTTATGCTTTAAAAAAACGATTCATCCAGAAATAACAGAAAGTCACAAAGACTTTAAAATCTCTTCATGGTTTTCTTTAAACGACCAAAACGAGATCGGCCGACGTCGTCCTCGACTTCAGCGATTATTAAAACTGATTATTCAATAAAAAGATTTCAACATTCATAGTTCTGTGCTCCTGTCCTCGGATACAGGTTTTGAAAATAAAAGCTCATGCAGCAATCAATCACTGAATATTTGGTTTGTTTTTAAGGTTCAAACACTACGCGGCCAAAAGTATGCGGACACCCGAAAAATTTAGTTTTTCTTTTTTAAAAAGAGACGAAGCCCAAAACTGTTGCAATAAAGCTGAATAATAATTATTATTATTTCTCTTTTCTTGTGAAATACTAAATAGTTTGGAGCCTTTAAAACGAGAGATAACGTCCTCAAGATGTCCTCAAGGACACGGACATACCAGGACGAGCTTGTCGGCATATTTTGGGCCATTTAGTGAATTTTAGAGAAAAACGACTTTCAGAAATAATTGTTACCAGCAAACCATTTAATATAAAGTAGAAGAACTCAGAGCCGTGCTGGTTCCAGTGAAACCATCCTTTCACAATAAAAGAATGTGTGAGGTCATCGTTCGTCTCTCATTCACTCAGCATCACAGTAAGATGGCGGCTCCATCGTCACGGAGATAAGGCAAAACAGGAAGCAGCGCCGCCGCCGTCTCTTTACCAGTTTCCTTTGCTGTGAGACAGATGGACAGACAGACAGACAGAGAGACAGACGGGCAGACGTCTGCGGTTGCTGCTTCTTAGCAATTAATACTTAAAATAGAAACAAAAGAAACCCACTGTTTTATAAAACTGCTCAAAGAACTTCCGGAGCTGAACCGTCATCCTAAGCACCGTTTGGATTTGTTAGAAAATGATAAAAAAAATATTTTTCTAAAAGTATCCGTCTTTCAGTGGAACTCCACAAACTCCTCCAGCGTTTTGGGGATCTGGTTGCGGTACGTGATCTGGTGCTGGCGGACAGCGCGCGCCGCCAGGCACTTGAGGCTCATCTTCATCTGCGTCTTCAGCAGGATCTCCGACACGCCCGTGGTGCTCTTGTCCAGCGGCGTCTTCTTCTGCTTGTTGGTCATGTCCGTGTGGGCGCCGGCCTCCACCAGGTTGATGATGATGGCGTGCAGCGTGAGGAAGTCGCTGATGGGCCGGTTGTACTGGACGATGACGTGCAGCGGCGTGTTGCCCTCGTGGTCCACGGCGTTGACCTGCGCGCCGCAGTCCAGCAGCAGCTTGGTGACCTGGGCGCTGGGGAAGCTGCACACGTCGTTGGTGTGGAAGTCGTCCACCGGCGTGCTGGAGCTGATGGCCAGGTGGAGCAGGGAGGAGCCCTCGCGGGACCGTGGGTCCAGCTGGATCAGGTCGTAGATGTGCTTGTTGATGCGGGCACGCCCCTCGTTGCCGCAGGTGGTCTTGGTGGAGATGCAGGTCAGGTACAGGAAGGTGAACACGTTAGACTCGTAGTTGTCCAGGGCCTGCGGCAGCTCCGACTCGACCGCCGTGTCCACGCGTGCCATGCTGCGCTGGATCTCCAGCACGCTGCAGCTCAGCACCTGCTCCACCGCCGAGGCCAGCACCGGCTCCTTCAGGTGCACCATCTGGGAGAACACCTGGGCGAAGCGCAGCAGGTCCTTGTGCGTGTTGCGGTTGCCCTTCTGCCGCAGGCGCAGCGCGTGAAGCCACAGCTTGATGCACTGCTCAAACTCCATGTTGTCGGCGTAGACGGCGCCGCGGTAGATGATGGGGTGCGACACGTCGATGTTGTCCGAGCCCAGGACCCGCTCCCGGATCATCAGGCCCTCCATGTGCAGGGCGTCCCGGTCCACCCGGATGGCCTCCAGCTCTTGAGGAGTCCGGCACTCGCTGCGCCCGCCGTAGGCCTCGATGGCCGGCAGCAGCTCCTTGGCGACGACGCGTTCCGGGTCGCGGTGGCGCTCCGTCATGGCCATGTGGAGGTAGTGGTACGTCCTCTGGATGTCGTAGTTCTCCCGGTCGTTGGCGAACGAGGCACCCAGCAGCTCCAGGGCCTCGATGCGGCTGCGCGGGTCGCAGTCGGCGTGCGCCAGCAGCAGCTCCACCACGTCCGCTTTGCAGCTCTCCGCCGCCACCTTCAGCGGCGTCATGCCGTGTCCGTTCACCACCATGCCCGCCCGGCATCGCACCAGCTCCTTCACGATTTCCAGGTGGCCCGCCTCGGCGGCGAAGTGCAGCGCGGTGGCCCCGCAGTGGGCCTTGGAGTTGGGGTCGGCCCCTTGCTCCAGCAGGAACTGGACCACGTCGGCGTGGCCCTTGTAGGCGGCGATCATCAGGCAGGTGTTGTTGTACTTGTTGGTGATGCGGATGTCGGCGTTGTGCTCCACCAGGTAGTGGACGATGTCCAGACGCCCGTCGAAGCAGGCGGCCCGCAGCGGGGTGGAGTTGGTGATGGTGGTGTGGTTGACGTTGGCGCGGTGACTCAGCAGCAGGCGCACCACCTCGAAGTGACCGGCACCTGCCGCGCACCACAGCGCCGTGGCCCCGTCGATGACGTAGCTGAGGGACGGACAGGAGACACAATCAGGACCTGATCTCAACACTCAAGAACTAAATCTATTTAACCTTCTAGAGGTGAATAAGTCACATGGCAGCTCTTCTTACCCGTCGAACCGCACCGTGCCGGTCTGTTCCGTGTCCACCTTGTAGTGGTCCACGAGCAGCCGGACCACTTTGTCGTGTCCGTTCCGGGCCGCGATGATCAGAGGCGTGGACCTCTGGCCGGCCACGTGGGTCACGTGGCTCAGCATGTACCGGACCTCCGCCTCCGGGTGGTTGTGGAGCAGCGCGGCCAGCGTCAAGACTCGACCTTCGCTGGCCGCCTTGTACACGTAGCCGGCCAGAGACTCCATCTGGTGAGCCCGAGAGGTAGTAGTAGTAGGAGGAGGAGCCAGGACCCCCGCTTTCTTCTTCGCAACTGGCGCCCGCAATAAAGTCCACTCGTCCAAAGCGAGCCGCCGCCTCCCATTAAAATGTCGAAACCTGCCCCAGTGCACACATGAAAAAAAATGTATGTTCTCCGTAATGGCCACGAGAGAAAAAAAAGAAAAAAGAAAAAAACGTGACGATCCGGGGCTTTTTTTTTTACAGGATAATTAAAAATTTTTAATCAACTTAAATAAAATTTTTGAATTAAATAAAATAAAAAATTTGAAATAAATTGAATTAAAAATGTATGTTCTCCGTAATGGCCACGAGAGAAACAACAACAAACCGTGACGGATCTCGGGCTTGTTTTACGGGACAAGTGTCCGAATATGGGCTCCAGCTTCTGGGTGTCTGGCTCAGCTGAGAGAGCTAGCCGGTTAGCTCGTGTGCTAATGTTAGCGAGCTGCTGCGACAACAAACCGCCGCTCTTTAGCTTCCGGTTTGATTAAACCAAACGTACACAGCTTAACGGTCGTATTAACGTATCTCCTGCTGGTATTTCTGTCTACAAACTCAAAAAGCTTCACACATTTAAATCTCAAACACACAACAGCCACTTTCACCTTCTGCTAACTAGTCATCTGCCCGGAAGTTGCCGTTCAACTTAAAAACACCTCCGACGGGAAGCTTTCTCCAGCTCACATGAGTTCCACTACGAAGACTTCCTCTTTTAAAAAACAACAAGTTGGTTTCACGGTTTCGATGAAAACCAATAACATAATACGCAGTGGCACGACAACATAATAATGTACATATATGATTGGATGATATAACATCGTCCGTGCATGAAGTATATTTATGTCATTGTTCACATTGTACAATGACAAATATCAGTTTATGGTTATTGCCTCATTTCATTCATAATGTATTTGTGTCGCCTTCCGAGAGAAAACTCAGAAAAGGAAAATAAATGTTAACCTTAAAGATGAGATTAATATTCATTATTTATGAGGTTACAATATTTATTGTCTTGTCCACGGTTCATTCATTAATACCATAAATTAAAAAATGCTTTCACATTTCTGCACATTCACGAGGAGACAACCAAGTTTCACAATAACTTCAATCTGAACAACAATGTGGATTCAATGGTTAAAAACTATTCCCAACCTCGATGATCGTTTCTACATGTTTTAAATAAGTTTAATAGTTCCACAGACACACATAGACCTGTGTGCGTGCGTGCGTGTGTGTGTGTGCGCGTGCGTGTGTGCGTGCGTGTGTGCGTGTGTGTGTGTGTGTGTGCGTGTCTCATTGGCTGTTGTCGGGTTACAGGCTGACAGTATTATACACAGCGTGAATGTGACTGACTTTAAGAACAGCCTCATCCTGCTCTTCAGGTTGGGCTGTGAGACTCAGATCATCACAGATAATCTGGATTGATGATGAAATATTTACATTCAGTCACAGCTGCTGAACATCTGGCTGACATGAAGCATCTCGCTCTGTTTGTTTTCTTTTTCACACAACAGAAACCTTCTATTGCCCTATAATAAGACTTTCTGATCTGTCATCTATAATTCTCTGTATTCTACAGGATCTGGGTTTGATATCATTTAATTTGAATCTGCTGCTGTGATCCTCATCCTGACTGAGCTAACCTTACTCAGTACATTTACTCAAGTACTGCTCTCATTAAAATGAGCTCCGCCATTAAAGTGATGAACACATTAATGAATCAATAATAATACTTTAATATATTATATACATTATGAGTGTTTTTACTTTTGGTATGTGAGTAAATGCTGATGATAGTACTTGTGTACTGTTACTGGAGTAAAGGATGTGAGTACTTATACAGCTTAATGACACAACTCGATTATCCATCCATCCATTTTCCTCCTCTTATCCGGGGTCGGGTCGCGGTGGCAACAGGCCAAGCAGGCTGACCCAGACTTCCCTCTCACCGTCAACATGTTCCAGCTCATTCTGGGGGATCCCGAGGCGTTCCCAGGCCAGCTGGGAGATGTAATCCCTCCAGCGTGTACTGGGTCTTCCCCGGGGTCTCTTCCCAGTTGGACGTGCCTGGAAAACCTCCAGTGGGAGGCGTCCAGGAGGCATCCTAATTAGATGCCCGAACCACCTCAGCTGACTCCTTTCGACGCGAAGGAGTAGCGGCTCGACTCCAAGCTCCCTCCTGATGACCGAGCTCCTTACCCTATCTCTAAGGCTGAGCCCGGCCACCCTACGGAGGAAACTCATTTCGGCCGCTTGTAGCCGCGACCTTGTCCTTTCGGTCACGACCCAGAGTTCGTGACCATAGGTGAGGGTAGGAACGTAGACCGAGTGGTAAATTGAGAGCTTTGCCTTCCGGTTCAGCTCCCTCTTCACCAAGACGGTCCGGTGCAGCGCCTGCTTTACTGCTGCAGCCGCACCGATCCATCTGTTGATCTCCCGCTCCATCTTACCCTCACTCGTGAACAAGACCCCAAGATACTTGAACTCCTTCGCTTGAGGTAAGCACTCCGTCCCCACCTGGAGGGAGCAATCCACCGGTTTCCGGCAGAGCACCATGGCCTCAGATTTGGAGGTGCTAACTCTCATCCCCGCCGCTTCACACTCGGCTGCAAACTGCCCCAGTGAATGCTGGAGGTCACGATCCGAGCAGGCTAACAGGACCACATCATCTGCAAACAGCAGAGAGGCGATCCCGAGACCCCCGAACCTGACATTCTCCACCCCCAGGCTGCGCCTAGATATCCTGTCCATGAAAGTCACGAACAGGACCGGAGACAAAGGGCAGCCCTGGCGGAGGCCAACACCCACCGGGAACGTGTCTGACTTATTGCCGAGAATGCGGACACAGCTCCTACTGCAGTCGTACAGAGACCGGATCGCCCGTTGTAATGGGTCCGGCACCCCATACTCCCGCAGCACCCCCCGATGGACCCGGTCGAAAGCCTTCTCCAAGTCCACAAAGCACATGTAGACTGGTTGGGCAAACTCCCAGAACCCCTCCAGTAGTCTTGCGAGGGTAAAGAGCTGGTCCACTGTTCCACGGCCGGGACGGAATCCACATTGCTTCTCCTGTATCTGAGGTTCGACAAACGGTTGGAGCCTCCTTTCCAGCACCCTGGCATAAGCCTTCCCCGGGAGGCTGAGTAGTGTGATACCCCGGTAATTCGAGCACACTCTCCGGTCCCCCTTTTTGAAAATGGGAACCACCACCCCGGTCTGCCAGTCCTTTTGCACTGATCCCAACCCCTATGCGACATTGAAGAGGCATGTCAGCCAGGACAGCCCAACTATGTCCATCACTTTCAGCATCTCAGGGTGGATCTCATCCACCCCCGGCGCCTTGCCACCAAGGAGCTTTTTGACTACCTCAGCGGCCTCTGCCAGGGATATGGGTGAGCCTCCCCCTAGATCTTCAGGCGCTGCCTCCTCTGCAGAGGACATGTTGGTCGGGTTTAGGAGTTCCTCAAAGTGCTCTTTCCACCTCCTGACGATGTCCCCTGTCCGGGTCAGCAGTTCCCCCCCCCTGCTGAGAACAGCCTGGGGTAAGCCCTGCTTTCCCTTCCTGAGCCGTCGGATGGTTTGCCAGAACCTGCTTGAGGCCAACCGAAAGTCCTTCTCCATGGCCTCCCCAAACTCCTCCCATGCCCAAGTTTTAGCATTCGCGACCACCGCAGCGGCAGCCCTTCTGGCCTGCCGGTACCTGTCAGCTGCTTCGGGAGACCCCTGGGCCAACCAGGCCTTGAAGGTCTCCTTCTTCAGCTTGACGGCTTCCCTCACCTCCGGTGTCCACCACCGGGTTCTCGGGTTGCCGCCACGACAGGCACCGATGACCTTCCGGCCACAGCTCCTAGCGGCTGCGTCCACAATAGAGGCTTTGAACATGGTCCATTCGGATTCCATGTCCCCAACCTCCCTCGGGATGTGAGAGAAGTTCTTCCGGAGGTGGGAGTTAAAGACCTCCCGGACAGGGTTCTCCGCCAGACGTTCCCAGTTCACCCTCACTACACGTTTGGGCTTGCCGGGTCTTTCCAACTGGTTCAACTGCCATCTGATCCAATTCACCACCGGGTGGTAATCAGTTGACAGCTCTGCTCCTCTCTTCACCCGAGTGTCCAAGACATACGGCCGCAAATCAAATGATACGATTACAAAGTCGATCATTGATCTCCGGCCTAAGGTGTTCTGGTACCAGGTACACTTATGAGCCACCTTATGTTTGAACATGGTGTTCGTTATGGCCAAACCGTGGCAAGCACAGAAGTCCAATAACGAGACACCATTCGGGTTCAGATCGGGCAAGCCGTTCCTCCCAATCACCCCCCGCCAGGTTTCTCCATCATTGCCCACGTGAGCATTGAAGTCCCCCAGGAGAACTATGGAGTCGGTAGGTGGCAACCTTTCCAGGACCCCTCCCACCGACTCCAAGAAGGCCGGATACTCTGAACTGCTGTTTGGTGCGTAAGCACAAACCACAGTCAGAGCCTTGCTCCCCGCAACCCATAGGCGCATGGAGGCGACCCTCACATTCTCCGGGGAGAACTCCAACACAGCGGCGCTCAGCCGGGGCTCGTGAGTATCCCCACTCCCGCCCGGCGCCTCTCACCCTGGGCAACTCCGGAAAAGGACAAAGTCCAACCTCTCTCCAGGAGCTTGGTTCCAGAGCCAGCGCTGTGTGTGGAGGTGAGTCCAACTATATCTAGCTGGTATCGCTCCACCTCCTGCACCAGCTCTGGCTCTTTCCCCGCTAGCGAGGTGACGTTCCACGTCCCTAGAGCTAGTCTATGCTGCCGGCGATCGGCTCGCCCAGGCCTCCCGCTTGACCCGCCGCCCGGTCTGCATTGCACCCGACCCCGATCCTTGTCCCTGCGGGTGGTGGGTCCACAGGGTGGCTGCTCCATGCTGTTTATTCGGGCTGAGCCCGACCAGGCCCCATGGGCGAAGGCCCCGGCCACCAGACGCTCGACGAGCTCCCCTCCTGGGTCTGGCTCCGGGAGGGTGCCCCGGTTTCCCTGGTCCGGGCGAGGTGGCTAAAGTCCGTGGGCTGCTTATCATTAGGGTCGTTTGAACCGCTCTTAGTCTGGGCTCTCCCCCGAGACCTGTTTGCCTTGGGAGACCCTACCAGGGGCTAATGCCCCGGACAACATAGCTCCCAGGATCACTGAGCCACTCAAACTCCTCCACCA